TTTCTCTCCCACAGTACCTATAAACTGAGTACCAGACAGTACTCGCGCAGCAAGGGAGAGAGCGCGCGCGAGCCCTCTAAAAGCCCGTTCCGTTGCAAAAGAGAGGAGGGGGGCCACCCTCACATTACTGTACTTACTGCACTGAACAGCACTGTAATAGGTACTGTGCTGTGCTTGCACCTTACATACTCTCGTCCTCGTCCTCACCCGCACTCGCACTTCGCAGCTTTTATCTCATCGACACACCAATTTAACCCACCACACACACCAAAAGACGGGACCCGGGTTTGCTCGATCCAATCCTGTCCAGCGCTTCCCATCCATCCAATAACCGTCTCATCGACGTCTGGCTTTGCGACTGGCCACATCTGGCTTGGCTCTTGTGCTAGTTGCGGGCTGGAGAAGCAAGATTTCTGCACGCCGCCAGACAATCCCTGCCCCGGTCGCTCGTGTCAGCCTAGACAGCTTGCCATCCAATCCGCAGCGCATCCCTGACGCGCTGGGCTTTCTCTGCGTCTCTCGCACTGCCAGGGGCCCTGGTCGGCGATCCACTCGGGCCTGTTCCAAGGATCGAAAGTTTGCCCTTGTGCTTGGATCAGAGCCAGAGGCCATCCACCTTTGTTCGTCCTCCCTTCCGATCATACTGGCATTCCCTATTACAGCGCCCGTCTCCCCTCGTCTTTGCTCGTCTTTTTCCATCTCTTTCATCCCACCTCTAATCGCACCTCTCTCTCACAGCTCTACGAGTGCTAACCATTTCCCCCCGCGCAAAAAAAGACACAGACGTGCAGCCCGATTCCCGACGCGACGCCCGTCCTTCTTCCCTCCCGCCACATCACCTTTTCTGCTTAATTGAGGAAATCTTAAACAAGAAGATTCTTCATAAAATTCATCTGCGGGTCCGATCGGCTCTCCTATTATCCCATTAACCCAGCCGAGAAAAAAAAAAGGACAGAAAAAGTAGTAAAATCCCGGTCAGGGCCGTGACTCCCCCAAGCCTTGTATCTGTCGCCCCACCGCGCCTGCGAGTGACGGTGACCTCAGCGAGGTGAGCACAAAAAACCCCATGCTTGGCTCTTTTTTCTTTCATCCCATTCTTCTCTCTCTCTCTCTCCATCTTCTTTAATTTCCTTCAGCCCTCCCCGGAGCTTTGCAATGCTTCCGCTCCCAGAGCCACGCCGGTGTCGCGTCTTTCCCCCTGCACCCTCGGCTGACTAGCGCGCCCAGAAGCAGAAGCTTTTCACAGCTCTTCACGCACAGCCCGCTCCACAACGCTCAAAGAGCATCACCACGCAAAAGGCCGAAATGGCCCAGCCGACGCGCTTTTACGGCTCCTCCAGGCCGCTTGAGGTTTTCAATGACGACATGTACTTCGAGAACGAAGCACCAGCACCAGCACCCATGACCAGCCACGCACCCATGCCGAACCCATCCAGGCCTGTTCGCCGTCCCCTTGGCAATTCCAGCTCAAACGTCATCCTCGAGCCCGCATCATCATCTTCTCGCGGCAGCAAATTCTCACCCTTCAAGAACAAGACACACAGAGCGCCGCTCAAACCCTCACACGGCCTCAACAAGTTTAACGGCATCTCAATGGCGCCTCCCACCGGCAAGGCCCCGGTGACGGATTCGCTGCAAAAGAAGCCGCAGCTCTCCAACTTCAAGACGGGCCTGCAGAAGCCACCGCTCACGGATCACAACGCCTTCTTCGGCAAGGAAAATGTTCACCCTCAGATCTTCCCGGCACCTCCGGCTATTAATATCTCAGTGGAGCAGTACTACCAGGACCCAAGTGGGAGGAAAGGACTGATGGAGGCGGCGCCAATCAAGGAAGCTCGAGTCAACAAGAAATCCAAGGCCGAGGAGCAATCACTACCGCCGCACGATTCGTTCCCACCCATCACCGATGATGGTACAAAACCGCCTCACAGCTACGCACAGCTCATTGGAATGGCCATTCTACGATCCTCGAATCGTCGCCTCACCCTTGCTCAGATTTACAAGTGGATCAGCGACAACTATTCCTTCTACAATCCCAACGACGCTGGATGGCAAAACAGCATTCGACATAACCTGAGCTTGCACAAGAACTTTATCAAGATTGAACGACCAAAGGACGACCCCGGCAAGGGAAATTACTGGGGTATTGAACCCGGCACCGAGTTCCAGTTCCTCAAGGAGAAGCCAACCCGCAAATCTGTCCCGACTGCAGAGAACCTCCCCGTCATGTCAACTCGCCTGGAGCCCTCTCGACCAACGCCAGCACTGATGCCCGAGCCTTCGCTGCCACCCCCGGCTCCTATGCATCATCACCATTCGCAGCACGCAAACAGCCTCCCCCCTCTTCCGACTTCTCAGGCGACCTTGTCCATGCCCTTGGAGCCTTCCTCAGACGCTACCATTCTCGTGTCCGACAATGCACCCGCTGAAGACTTGGTGGAAAAGGGTCTCGACAACGAATTGCCGCTGGAGTCGTCCTTCTTCTCGCCTCTCCCTGCAGCTTTACACTCGACTCCACCTGTCCCTCGAGCAGAGCGACGGAATGGCACACCACCTCCTATGAGCCGCAATCCTCCCTCGTCTGTGACTAGGACTCACAAGCGCAAGTTCGCTTCCATGGATGACAGCGGCTACATCTCCTCTCTCGAGTCATCTGCCATGCGCCCAAACGCAGCCAGGTCAACTTTTTTCACATCCGAGGCTGACCGGCACCGAATCAAGCGTGGGCGTGCCGAGGAGGAGATTGCACGACTCAGGGGATCTTCTCCTTTCAGCCCGACCAAGAGCCGTTCGTTTTCCAACTATGGAATCAATTCATCGTCTCCCTTCCGACAGTCCCACGACAACCAGATGCCGCCTCCTCTCACTCCCATCGTTAAGAAGGCCAAGGCCATCGTGCAGCCGCCACCCTCGGTTTCTCCCAACACGAACCTCCGCATCCATCGCGCCAAGGTCCGCCACTTGCTGCAATCCCCTCTGCGACGAGTAGCCAACCTTTCCAATGACGACAGCCTGCCGTGGAGTCCTGCCTTCCGCCTTGATGATAACCTCTTCAGCTTTGACACCCCCAACGCCAGCCATCTTCCCGACTTTGACATCTTCCAAGATCTGCCGGTGGATGATGAGAATGTCTTCGATAGCATCGGCTGTGCAGATGCTGGCTCCCCCATCAAGCGCTCTGTCAAGCGCGCTCGCCTAGATCGGTCTATTTCCTCATCAGCCATCGGAGACTTGTCAGCTTCCAAGAAGATTGTCTCATCAGCGCCTTTGCTCAAGGCCCCTGATACACCTTCGCAATTTCTGGAAACGCCAAGCAAAGCCTTTGAGGGCCTCGGCTCCCCGTCCAAGCTCTTCCAAGGATCGCCCATCAGGGGTGCATCGCCGAGCAAGTTTGTCTCCTTAATCGAGCTTCCAGGAGACGGGGACTGGCCATCTCTCCACATGGACCCCAACGACTTTGCTTCAGGGGCTGGCGTGGATGGGTCCGACTTTACCGGCCTTGATATCCTTCAGGGGTTCGAGAAGATCGGATCCGGCTCACAGCCCTCTAGAGGCTTGAAGCCGAGCGGGAAACCTACCTTGGGCCGAAGCTTCTCAACCACCTTTTAGAAGACGTTGCTTGCGACGGGCAAATGATAACGATCACTTTTTCTTTATGACATTGATGAAGACAGGAGGAAACATGAAGCCCAATGAAGAACACATCAAGGGTTGTTTTTCCTTCTCAAATGTCCAACACTTTATACACCACGACCAAAGCTTCCTTCACACGACTACCACGACGATGACTGGCATTTGACGTTGAGCGCTTCTAGACTGCGATAGGGTTCGCAGTTCTACGTACAAGCCCAACTTCTCCCCTTGGGCTTGACGGCTTGTTCCCTAATGGGTAATGATGATTCTGAGTACATAGTATAACTTGTTTTTTAAACCTCTGTTTTTGCGGCATTGGAATACGACCACGGTCGATTCCGGGAATTGGGATAGCTTGGCTTAGCTGGTATGGCCTGGGCCTGGACTTGGACTTGGGCTTGGCTTTATTGCAAGGGATTGTTGGTTGTTTTCTTTCTCTTTTTTTCTTTTCATCTCCCTTGATTAGTTCCCTTATTCTTTTGCTTTTGAGTGTATTCACTTCTTTACCGGACTATGGGTTGGATGCATGGAGTCTGGATTCACAAACATGCGCATACGCGCGTGTGTACCTAGGGAACTGGTATCAAAGGGGTTTGTGAGAGACTTGGCTTGGCTCATGTTTGAATTTTATTTCCTTGTTGGGCTTCTTTTTTTTCTCCAAGGGATTGGGAACGGATTCGCTTTTGGGATTATTTCCCGGTCGGATAGGGTTGGGTGTTTTGCTCTATTTGTTTATGCTGTAGGCTCTCACGTTGTTCTACTTTTTTTTTAAAAAAAAAGGCGATTGACTTTTTTTTTTTTCAATATCAAGTTCGATTGACTGCTTGTTTTCAAGATTTGATGTATTGTTTGCACCAATGCCGTGGCTGTGTCTATTGCTTGATAGCTACCAGCGTACAGATGTGACTCATTAAGCCTGGTTCATGTGTTTCCCCCTTCTCCCCCCAATCGCCCCCCAGCCTGCTCCATATAACATTGCACATGACTGTGTGCATGTGTCGTCGTGTGAACTCGGGGGGTATCTTACCGTTGGATCGTTACATTAAGCTTGTTGAAAAGAAAAAATGTCTTGGTCTCCCCGAGCCGATTACCCAAAACGCCTCATTGTAGAGCTCCGAGCGTATATACAGGTTTGCCTACATCGAAAAAAGCGCCTAACTGGTCGCCATACACGGCCGGCCCCTTTCCTTTCTCCCAAGATATCAAAAAAGAAAATTCTATCAGTCGGACCTTTTATTTGTCATTGTTGCTCGTTTGTTTGGCTGAGATGTCGTTAAAAAGTGAAAGTAAAAATGTGTGAAGACGTCAATCTTCGGCAGTTGGCATTTAAAGAAAGATGTGCGTGGTCCAGGTTCGTGTAAAAAAGTCTAGTAGATGCGTATGCGAGACGCCCAGCTGGTTTCCTTGGACTCGAGGTTGATCTTGTAGGGGAAAGGGTTGCCGCCCTGGGTGGTGATGGGAGGGATGTGGTCTTTGTGGGTGTTGACAAAGGTGACGATTTTCATGGCGGTGGCGAAGAGGGTTTGCTCCATGGCTCTGCGGACTTTGGCTCGTTCTACGGGTTGTTTTTGTCTTAGTATGGGAGAGAGAGCTCGGAGGAGGTTTTGGGGCGTTGGAGCTTATGTGCAATAAAAAAAAACATACCGTTTTCCGTTCTCGGTTCAGCGACGGTGACTTTGATTGTCCATGTTTCCCAGCAGACCTCCTCGTCTCCGCGGCCAAAGGGCCAGGCCTTTTTGCGTTTCCGCTCAAAGAACTGGACGGTGATCTGGCCCCTTCCTCCGCTGCCGCCGTCGCCCACGCCAACGCCGCTCATTTTGTCTCCCTTGATCGGTGCCTGGCCGCCCGAATTGGATAGTCGTTCGGCATCGAGCTGGCGCTCGAGCGCATAGGCGCGCTGCTCGATGAGCGTCTCCAGCTCATCGTCGTTGACGAAGGGGAGGGTGACATCCAAGACCTCGTGCGTTCGGGGAGCGAGAGAAGGGAAGAATCGGTTAAAGAAGATTGTGTGCAGTATGCCTGTGTTGCTCGCCGTGTTAGCTGAAAGAGACTTGTTGATGCGACGACGGCAGGCGGCTCGTCGCATAGGGCTGAACGAGGCCAATTCAAGTACCTTTAACCACGTCGCGAACAGATCGAGGGTCCGTGAAGACGTCGAGTATGAATTCCGGGGGTTTCTGCTGATCCATTTCTTCTTTCCAGGGGAGCAAGGTAGCCGTGGCTGGTAAAAGGGAGTGTCAAAAAGGGAAAGCAGCGAGGAAGAAAATTTTGCCTCTCTCTCGCTCAGACTTGGACTCTCTCTCTCTCTCTCTCTGCGATCAATTATCGATGTCACCGCCAGTGGGAAGCGCTGAAATCAAAAGAAGAAGAAATGGATTGGGCCAGTGTTATCTCGACTGCTGGGCGAATCGGCGCATTGCTGGATGTTTTTAAACACGAGCCACGGTCAAGAGGCGAGTCGTCAGCAGGAGAGGGAGTCACCAGACCAAGATGTCGAGGCTTGACTAGCAGTGCTACCGTCTATACCCAGCCAAGGCGGGTTGGAGTTTGCGACACACGACAGCCACAGCGCCTAGACGCGGAAAGCAAAGGAGGTGCCGGATTCTCTGGCGGGCGAATTGCAGGGAGCAATCCAAGGAGGCGAGAAAAAATTGCAGATGCAGCGAGACGAGAATAAAAAATAAAATAAAATTATGCCCTGTGCCTGTGGTATGCAAGCAGGCAATTGAAGCGAGGGGGTGGGGGAGTGAGAGCTGGGAGAGGGGCAAAAAAAAAAATAAACATCCATGGAGGAATGATGCTTGTCCGGGTGGTTTTCTTTTTGGCTGGTATTATTTGCCGGCCGGTGAGTGGCTGGTGCAGTGCAGCGCAGTGCAGTGCAAACCTGGCCTGGCCTGGCCTGGCATGCCGCTAACTTGCACTGACGGACAGCCAGCTGAAGGGGCACTGCCTGGTGCTAAATTCAGCCCCAGTGGCACCAGGTGTGGCGTGGGGATCGATCGGGAAAATGCGCACAGTCACGTCACTGGAACTCCATCAAGTCACACCTGCGACATTGACCAGCTCAGCTCTCTGCTGTCTACCAAGGTACAGTAGAGAGTACCTGCGATAAGAGATAACGTGGAAGCTTGAATGTTTCAACGTTTGACCGAGGGAGGAGGGTTAGACGGTCAACAGTACTAATTACTACCTGTATACAGCAGCAGTGAAAAGCCTCGTCAAGCCAGTACTAGCCATTGATCCTTTGTATTGCTTAACCATTACATCGTACTTGCATCGTGAGTAATATTACCCTCAGTAGGCGGCAGCCTTGTGTTCCATCTCTACCCCCAAACCTGTAATCGTAACATACGACTTCCACTTCCGGGTAAGACGGGTTTCTTTCAGGAGATCCCCGAAAGCAATAAGCATCTCTGCCTGGGTATTATCCCGATGGGTGTGTCTCTTCCGGCATCAAACCCACCAGCTGTTTAAATCATACAAGCAATACTATCTGGGAATGACACATCCAATGCAACTAGAGCATCATCATTATTAGTGCGTGCATACACCCAACAGGCCCCCGGCCGAAATACTAATCGGCGGGCCTGCCTTACAGCACGGATCCCGAGAAATACCTGCCCAGTACCCGCCCCCTACAGCCCTCCTAGCGCTGTCTGCCGCGAGTGCGCCCGTACCTGCCGCGTACTCCTTGTCCTTGCTCGTGCCATTGACCCCTTGCCGAAGACGCCAATTAGAGGCCCTGCTGCCCCGTGGCGCTCAGCAGAACCGAGGCACGCCTGCAAACATTCAACTGAACCAATCCAGCCTCAACCACCATCGCGACTTTTCCATTGCAACGGCCCTGCAGTCTCTGTGCGACGTGTTCCGCCTGCTGTGCCTGCGATTTCGAGTCCTCGCCTCTCCCCGACCTCCCAGCAACCCGAGATACTTCGTACATGTCGCCGAATTGCTGATCCATGACCCTCTGACCCGACCCGACCCGACCTGACCCTGTGCAGCGCTGCCCAACATGTTCTCTTCAGCCCGGCGCTGGCTGCATCGGAACCGGACGCCAATTGCCATCGGCGTTGGAGTCGTCGGTGCTGGCTACGCCGTGACGCAGTATGTGCTGTCCAAGATCAACGATGCGCGCGAGCGTATGAGCAGCGACCGCATCGCCAAGGAGAAGTAAGTTTTGCCTTCTGTCTTACCATGTTTATCCCTCTCTCCGTTGCCAACCAAGTCGGGCCGCTCTAGTCTTCGCCGTCGATTCGAGCAGAACCAGGAGGACTGCACGTTTACCGTCCTGGCTCTCCTGCCTACCGCCACCGGCAACGTCATCACGGCTCTCAACACGGAGCGCATCACCTACGAGATCCAGCAGATCAAGAGCTCGGCCAGGAGCCTCAAGGGCATTCAGACGACTAGCCCGCCCAGTATTGCCGACACCACCCTCACCGAAGATGATAGTAAGAGCACCATCAGTGTGCCCGTTGACATCGGCATGCCCTTCACCACAGACGCTTCCCAACAGGAGCTCGCTCCTCCGAGACCACGAAAGACCAAGAGGCAGCTGTGGGATGACCTCACCATCAGCGGTACGCGCCACTTGCTTGTTTATCCACGCAGACGCATGTGAGATGAAGAAGAAATATTGACAAATACCTGGTCACCATAGCCATTACGAGATCGTTCACGCTCATCTACACACTCGCCCTCCTTACCATGCTCACCAGGGTCCAGCTAAACCTGCTGGGTCGACGCAGCTACTTATCCAGCGTTGTCGCTCTCGCCACTGGCAGCCAACAGGCCACCATCAACCTCGAGAACAATGACGATGATAACCCCAACCAGACATACGGCAGCGACTTCGACACGAACCGCAAGTACTTGACCTTTAGCTGGTGGTTGCTAAATAAGGGGTGGATTGAGGTCATGCAACGCGTCGAGAGCTCTGTACGAACCGTCTTTGGCAGCCTCAGCCCCCGCGACCTTGTCACCTTTGACCGCGTCTCCCAGTTGACCGCAGAGGTCAGAAAGCTCATTGAAGGATCCTCCAACGAACGCAAGGGATCGGATTGGCTGGCCTTCCTGTTGCCCCCCAAAGACAAGGAAGACGAGGTCATCCGTGAGTCTGGCATCTTGGACGATGCAGGCATGGCCGCTCAGGACGGCGCCCAGGTTTCGCCCGCCGCGCTGAGGCGGCTGCTCGATGAGACGGCCGATCTAATCGAATCACCGGCCTTTTCACACGTCCTGACCTTGATCCTCGACTCTGGATTCTCGTTGCTAGTGGATAAGAAGCTGGCTACCGAAGCTTTCGAGTTTTCTCTGGACGACGCCCCCACTGCTGTAGCAACGACAGCCAGCCTCAAGCGCACCAGGGCCATTCTCCTGCCCAAGATTCTCTCTGTTTTGACACGACAGGCTCACGTCATTGGCAACGGCATGCCGAATGAGTATCTCCAGGAAATGGAGACGGTGCGCGATCTCGAGGCCTTCTCCGCGGTTGTATACTCTAGCAACTGGGAGAATGAGATGAAGGAAGATGGGCTCATGGAGAGCGCCGTGTACCTCAAGTCTGAAGACACCCAGTCTCAGTCCACTCAGGTCGAGAGCAGCGTCGTCATTGTTGAGCCCCAGGCTGCTGCTGACCTTGAAGGCGCATGGGCAAGGGCAGCGGACAAGAAAGCTTGAGGAGGAATAGGAGGCGGTACCAACAATGCGAATACTTTGTATAGTAAAGAGTAAAGATTTGACGCATTCTATAGGTTTGGTGATCATTTTTTTTCGGCTGCAAAGGGGCGGGACGGATGACTACAAAGATTTAATGGTTTTGTTTTTTTTGCTTTTACTTTTCTTCTGTTTTGGTATTATAATGGTGTTGGCAGACTTAGCAGACGGCATATAACGATATATCCTACATTGTCGCCGGCGCTCAGAGATTAGCGCTTGGTCTCTTTTCTTTAGGGATGAGGATTATCTCTCTGGCGAGCCTGTGCCCCAGATTCTGCGGCTCCAACCACAGACAGATTGGTCTGGGTGCCACGGCCCGTGGATTCTTCAAAGTCACCTAACGAGAGCTTCCCGAATCGTGCATCCCCACGGGCGCCTCGCCGCTTACACCTCTCCTCTCTTGTAGGTATAGGCATTTTGACCAGAGGCGGCCAGATTCTGTAGCGTCCCAGCTAGAGCTAGGGAGGTGTGACAGATCAGCAGCTCCTGAAAGCCCTCGTGTCGTGAGCAGTAGAGAGGCCGCCATCGTCGTTACTGCTTGTAGTCTCCGCACTTGGAGTGTTTCGCTCCACCTGTGAAGCATTACAGTACGCCGTGTGCTCACATCATGCCCCTTATAAACTGGTCCAGCCCAAGTTCAAAGAGCTCGTTGTTGACACCCGCGCCCCCCTTGTGCTCGACCGGTGCAAGCGGATTCTTAACGACTATAACAACAAAACAAATCAGCGATTGACTTTTTTTTTTTTTTTTGCAATAAAAAAAGACGCCCTTGCTGAAGAAACTCGCAAATAACATACCATATTCCACCCACAGGTTGATGTAAATCTGATGCAGCACATTCCGCATGCTGGCCGAGCCCGTGTCCGTAAGCATGACGAAGCGGAGGTTGGCGGGCGTCTCGTAAAAGTGCAGCTTGTACTGCCCCGTGCGGTAGCTGATGAAGGCGTCGTCGTCGCCGCCGAGCTTGCGGACCATGTTGCGGAGAGAGAAGACGGTTCCGAAGACGAGCTTGGCGTCGTCGGAGGAGGTGGACAGGACGGGCGCGGTTGTTCCGGGGCCGTCGGGCGCCATCCACGACTTGACGTAGACGCATTCGGCTGGAAGATGTGATGGTTAGAATTGGTGAATGGGGAGGAGAGGAAAGGGGTGATGCAGGTGGACAGGCGTACTGTGGCGGTCGAAGATGTAGAAGGAGTAGACAACCATGTTGGGCAGCTTGTTCACGCGCAGTGCGTTATGATTCTGGTCTGTTATTGGGTTTCGCAGGGGGGGGGCGAGGCTGGAGGCTCAATAGCAGAGGCTAGACACTAGACGCGCCAGATCAATGGCCTGGTATGGAGGAGAGGTGCTTGTCGTATCGTCTCGCGGGACGAACGAGCTCCGCCGACAAGTGGCGGCTTTGGTGTTGGAGTGTCGTCGTTCCAGGGTCCAAGGGGGGCAGCTGGCCTCGGTTATCTACATACCTAATCCGCCTACAGTTGTCAGTAAAGATGGCGGGGTGTCCACTGCTGGAGTGCGCTATGGAGGCCTGTAGCGTCCATCGCCCAACGGGATACATGTACCTGTATGGTGCTCATTCACAGCATGGAAAGCTTCCATTCAAGACTACATGATGATGCTTCATCTTGTATACTAGAAATAATAGAGTAGAATCTGAACAGAATCAAGTCTTGCTGGGCCAATTTCAGAGGCATATTGGAGGAGTTATAGATTGGCGAGGCTGAAATAACCATATTGTTAGACCCGTCTGTCACTCTCTGGCTTATACCAAGTCAGCCACCTCGCGTTTTCCTGGTAACCATAAACCATGTGCCAGACATGACAGCTCGTTCATCAAGTATTGAAAGTAAATCCTCCATTATATATACAAATATTGCAGTCAACTGTCAGAAATGAATAATAACGCGTATTGCCTTATGATAAGCAGTGACAGGCTATTATTAGTGCTACGGGCTGATTTTCGACAGCAACCCCAAATCTGCGCTGCCAATAGAGTGCCAGCATTTGACACCCCCGCTTAACAGAGGATGCAAATGCAGCCCATCATTTGTCTACCCCTCCAATGGGTGGGCTGGCTCGACTTCAGCCTCACCACATATTTAACAGCCCTGGCGCGCGAACTGCTCGCCGTGCTTTTTGACGAGGCGCAAGGCATTTGATGCAGTGGGGAGGCCGAGAGTATCTGCCGGCTACTCAACCTCGCTACCATCTTTATATCTGTGAAGAAGACACAAGCGCAGGCGAACACGCGATCGATCCAGCAGCCCTCCCTCCTGTTTGACTGTCAACACAGTTGCGCCCTCTGCCGCCCACCATGGAGACACCTCCACAATCACCCGGCTACAGCGTCAAGAGCGTCAACTCGGCGCCCCCGACCGGCCTTCAGTCGCCCAGACTCACCGTCAACGGCCGCGACGATGTATCGGACGATCGACCCTCACTGGCATCTGCCGTGTAAGTCAAGTATCGAGTCGAGTTTCGACGACGATGGCTCGCAGTTCGTCGTCGCCGTGTGGTTTGTCGCGAGTGCTGATCCGATACCTTCTTCGCGTGCTCTAGCACTGAACCCCTTCGTCTCCACGGCTTCGCAAGTCCGATAAGGCAGCATAAACGCACTCCGAGTGCCCATCGTGAGATCAAAGTAGTTCCTCTCCAGTTCACCACTTGGTTAGTCTGTACAAGTAAGCTAACTTCTCAAAACAGGAAACTCTGGACGCCCACGTCGAGTTCTCTAATGATGAAACCGATGGTCGAACTCATCATAGGATAAACCAATATGTGATTCAAGAGGAAATTGGGCGAGGCTCTTATGGCGCCGTTCACCTAGCGACAGACCAGTTTGGGAATGAATTTGTGAGTATCCTCCCCCTTTCAACTTCTTAGCCCCTCCCTCTCTTGCTTAGGACGAGTCTTGTAGGCCGTCAAAGAGTTTTCCAAGGTCCGCCTACGAAGGCGCGCACAGTCCATGGCCATGCGTCAAGGCCCTGTCGGACCGTCACGACGCATGCCCGGTAGGGGCGTCTTGCCCTCCCATCTCATAGGGTTGAGAGACAACGAAATGAACGATGCGCTATTCTACATCCGGGAAGAGATTGCAATCATGAAGAAACTCAATCACCCCAACTTGGCCCAGCTTATCGAGGTACTTGATGATCCGGATGAAGATTCTCTGTACATCGTCATGGAGATGTGCAAGAAGGGGGTCATTATGAAGGTCGGCTTAGGCGAACAGGCAGAGCCATATCCCGACGAGGAGTGCAGATTTTGGTTCCGAGACTTGATATTGGGGATTGAGTACCGTAGGTCGAGCACACACTTTCGGTGTCTTCCTGAATTGCCGTCACCATCGCTAACGCTCTCGCAGTGCATGCCCAGGGTGTCATTCACCGTGATATCAAACCTGACAACCTCCTGCTGTCAGAAGATGACGTCCTCAAAGTTGTCGACTTTGGAGTCTCGGAAATGTTTGAGAAGTCAACCAACATGAGAACAGCCAAGTCTGCTGGATCGCCCGCCTTTTTGCCTCCTGAACTGTGCACCAAGCATGACAAGGTTTCCGGAACGGCTGCAGACATCTGGTCCATGGGCGTCACTCTCTACTGTCTCAAGTACGGCAGAATCCCCTTTAACAAGGAGGCCATGCTCGAGATTTACGAAGCCATCAAGGCCGAGGAACCAGAACTACCAAAAGATGAGTCCCCGTCCTTTGTCCACCTTATGGGTAGGCTACTGGACAAGAACCCGGAAACACGAATCACAATGTCAGAGCTTCGAGTAAGTAGCATCCAAATTGTGCCCGATTGATTATTAGAGCATTGCTAAATTTCATCTAGGAACATCCCTGGGTGACCAAAGAAGGGACCGACGCATTGCTTTCAACGGAAGAAAACTGCGCAAACCCCGTAGAGCCACCAAACGAGCTGGAGCTTAGCCGTGCCTTTACAAGAAAGATGAACCACCTTCTCTGTGTAATGAAGGCCATTCATCGGTTTAGGTGCTCCTTAATAGCTAGCAGACGCAAGAAAGGCATTTCCCCGCCTGCCAGCGAACAAGAGGGGCGCAAACCAACGGAGACTACCAACACCAACCCATCAGTTGCCGACATTGCGGCGCTCATCACACAACAAAAGACGATTCTTGCGTCCGAGGCCGGAGAGGAAAAGGCCCAAGAGCAGGAAACTGGCACTAGCGATCAAGAGCCACCATTCTTGGGCATCGGCACGGGTGCAAGGGATGCCTTTGCCACAGATGAAAAGACGCCCGACGTTGTGTCTGACTCGCCTACTGCGGTCGACTTCAACGTGTACGACCGAGCCTATGAAGAAGCAATCAAGGAGCGCACGAAACCGAACCAACCAAACAATCCCATCCTGTATTTGACGAAGCACATCAAGGAAAAGGACTATTTTAAGAAACTGGAAAACTTGGTGGACGAGGCTGCCGTCTCGCCATCCCCTTTGAAGGCTGCCAAAGAAAATTCCAGGCAGCTTCTAGACCCTCTCCCTCTCCATCCAGGCAACAGATTGGCCGATCTCGTGTCCAAAGTTAAAGTCTCAGATGCGCCCGAGAATAGCAGCAAGACAAGAGACCAAAATTAGGCCACTGCCGAGTCTCAAAACTAGCGCGCCCATATCAACTCGACTTTTTGTTGTGCCAAGCGGCCGGATTGTGAGCACTTACAAGAAATCATCTCGGCACAATGAGACACATCAGATACGAAGCATCATTGACCAACCCCCCTCCTCCGGCGGATAGACTCCTTATCGAAGTGTGTACAAGTATACTTTTTGCCAACGAGGCAGCGTTTTAAAGGGGCGTCCAACAGAAAGTCTTGAAACGAACTCGTGTGCAGTCATCTCCAATCAGATACTACGCTGCGCTGCTCCTACAGTACGCTACTCAGGATACATTATCATGATGTAGGCTGAGACTTATCATTTCCATTAATTGTGTGGAGAAGCAATCTCCGGCGCGACAGTGAGAATTGCGCTCACCGCTCCAAAGAAGGCAACAAGATTGGTGAGCTAAGAGACGTAGGGGGAACACGACGTTAGTGATTTCTAGAACGGTCGGTGAGACCGTTACTGCATTACCACGGCAGCGACGATTACGGATGGTGGTGTGAAGGGAAAAAAAAGAAGGCGAATGAATGAAACCCGGCCCATGTCAACCGGCACGATGTACATGTACAGTACAGTACGGGGAGGAGATTAGGGAGGCGCCACGCGCAAAAGAGGAGCATGGAATGTTTAAAATCAGAGCAAAAGAAAGATTGATACCCCTTCCCGACGGCTGAGTGCTGTATGTCAACCAACCCTTGCCGGCTCGGGTACCTTGACTTGGGCAAGCCCATGCCAGGGAGCTGCTACGAGTACGTCTAGAAGAAAATGTCTCACGATGTGATCTGAGATGCATTCTGCCAATAATCCAGCCGTTGGCTGCGAGGCTTCCGAGGCGCGTTATCACCCACGCAGACCCCTGACACAAAATGTCCCTACCCGCGTTCCGTGCCTGGTCTGAGGCGGGGGGTCCAAAGCTTGGGCCATGTGGCAGACGAACGGAACGAGACAAGAGCATGAGCATGCGGATTTCTGAGAGGCTGTCGAGAGGTATTGGGTATGCCCGGAGATGCACTGCACGACGCACAGGCTCAAGTCTAGAACCAATGGATGAGAAACGCGCGCGCCATTGCATTCATCACCGAGGACGAGGTGATGTAGCTCTGAGGCCGCCGCCACCCAGTGACGATAGCCGGCAGCACCAAGACGCGACGTGTCGGCTATCAGGGCCAAGCATATCGGTGTCTAAGTCTACATGCCGGGGTTCCTTCGAGCTATCGTATGTATGTATGTGGTGGCAGCATGGTCAGTGATCCCGTGGGCGGCTATACTTGCGTCAAGGACCCCCTCCCCCAAGCTGAAGTTCCCAACAGCAAGGGAAAACCCGGGGATGCTGGTCTTGCGTTATCCGAGCACAAACAAGCAAGGCGAACGAACGGGAGGGAGCCACTGAGATGTGAGGAGGACGGCACGAGCGTTGATAAAGCCGGAGGGTGGGAAAATGAAAAGGGCATTTGATGATGGAGAGGATCGGAGGGACGCGGGATGGAGAATTACAGAAGGGGGGGAGAGACGAAGAAACAAGAACTTTGATGACAGGTCCCATTGTTGTTCGTCGTCGTTTTTTTTGTGCTCAGTACCTACGATAGATTTGTGACATCAGGAGAGGAGCCCGGAAAAGAACGCAGATCGACAAAACGGAGAGCTAGGCTGGGCAGGCCTCAGCATCGTCTCACTCGCTCGCGCCGCTTAGATCCGCAGTTCCACGGTACGGTACGGTGGCGGGCGGGCATGATACACCCATACACACCCCCGGCACTTCCCACGTCTGAGTAAGTTTTTGCACAGGTAGCATGCGAGTGGCGGTCGGGGGGGGATTACATGGTGAGAGTGGAGAGACGAGAAGATGGGAGAAAAGGGACAGGACAGGACAGGACAGGACAGGATTGGGGTTGCTTACAAAAGGGCCAGAGTGAGATTCCTATGGACAGAGTACGAAGTAATGGTACAAGTCGAGGAATTGGAATTACGAAGCAATATAGTAGGGCGGACGGAGTAGCGGAGTAGTGGTAATAAACTTGAGGTGAGGGAAAATGTAACTTGAATAAGAATAGGCTCTCTTTTTTTTTGGTTTTCTTTTTTCGTTTTTCTTCCTTTTGACCTTGGTCCGCACGATTACGGGATCCGAGGCTATGGGCATAAGATGGGGGGATGATTGAGCCGATGGCTATCTGACCTATGAGATCATCACGGCGACGCTTTTAGCAACAGGGTCTGGGGGTGAGTGGACCTCTTTGACTCTGTCCGTTGGGCTCTGGATTTCTGGGGATTTGCCATGTATATACATGAGTTTATCTGTAGAGCAGATTCCATCATGTGCAGCATTTTCGTCTCAACAGGATTGGAAAAAATACAAGTGAAAATGCCATCATGTTTCTGGGCGTCAAAAGTCTTGACCCGTCCCCCTCCCTTTCGGCATCTGGCTCAAACTCGGGGATGCGCCAAGCAGGAAATACGTGTGTGGACGGAGTCGTTAAACCCAATACTATATGTGAAATGACTTCATATGGGCGAGGGGCGGGCTCTAGCTAGGGTGGTTGTTGTTGTTTTTTTTTTCCGTACATACGTGTACATACGCATATGCACGTACCTGTATGTGCAGCGCAGTGCAGATGGTCAAGTGAGGCATAGTTGGAGGCCGCCTGAGCGGGATAGAGCAACGAAAGAGGAGGAGGGATGAGATCCATGGGTTGGCGATAAAGGGCTTTTAGGGTGCAGGGATAGCGTTGTTTTTTGTGTTTCTTTTTTTTCCCGCTTTTGTCATTTTTGGGGGGCGAGTTTGTTGCTTGCATTTGCTTTGCTTGGTGTTTCTTTGCATGGGGATATGCATGTGCTGTCCAACGCGGAAAGGATGCGGTGCACGAAGCATGTACAGACAGACTGATATTCGGCTCTATTATCTTCTTTCTTCTTCGGGGTCATGCACGTAACGATGCATGAAAAGAAAATTGGGAGATTTACATACACTCGCATGTACATACTGTAGACACCAGCTTTAGCGAGAGAGGGGGAGAGGGTGAGCATGAGCTCATGTGAGTAAGAAGTGAGGATGAGAGGCGAGAGCGTGTTAGAATTTGGGGTTTGTGCAACTCCAAGCAAAGAGGGGGGGGGGGGGGGGACGATTGTTCGCTGCAGGCGTTATATTGTGGCTAAATCAGGGAGCACTACCCAAGCAACGGATTAAATTGATTAATTAATTAATCTCAATACGCTGGATAATTCGGGGGCAAGGGAATGTGCTTCCGAGAGGGGGGAACTCGGCGGTTCTGTAGATTGGATTGCATACCGCCTCGTGATGCCGGCTTTACACTCGTACAGCCATTTACATGTTAGTCTAGCTACAGTACAGTACAGTGTTTGTTGCTACGATTCAATTCGATTTTCTTCTTCTCTGCTTGTGACCCGCCTCTTTTGCTTACCAAGTAAGTATCAATTATTGATCATTGGCAACTTAGACCAAACTCATTCTAGCGGCTCTCCCCAGTTGTTGCCCTCTTCTCTCTTCTTCTTCTCCTCAATCCTCGTGCAGCAAAAAACTATGGAGTCGGACGGCTAGCATTGGAACGGCCCTGTTTTTCTCCAATCCAGGGTCCTTTCCCGCTCCTCTTTGATGCTCATGCATGCTGCGGTTGGGTCGTACGAAGCATGGAGCACAAAGTCAAGAGAACCAGTTCACGCGGGGGGATGTGTTAATCAGGTGAATAGCTCTACCTAACCCTTTTTCTTTTCTTATATGGCTCTCTCTCTCTCTCTCTCTCTCTTCCGCTCAATGACGGAGCAAGTGGGTGGGTTTGTGCCCACGTTGATGACGCCTGAATGCAACTTTCGGGGGTCCACGGCTGGAATCGGTAAAAAAGTACCAACGTACCGCGTGTACCTGTACTTGCGCGAGCGTACCAAGACCTGTCTGTGCTAAGAGAATGAAAAATCCAAGACGCCAATTGAAAAGGGAAAAGCGGGGGAAAGAATTTTAAAAAAAAATTCAAAATAAAGATGAAGAAAATAGAGACAGAGAGAGATGAAGTTCCATGACGAAGCAAACGAGGCTGTGGGCAATGCCTCGCCGATTCCCAAAAACGGGAAGTTGTCTCAAAACCTTATCTCGATAGTAGCATTTCCTCCTTAGAGTTTCATTCATTTCATTTCAGTGCATACGAGTACGTGTGTTTCTCAACATGCCAGATGCCGTCCGAGTTTTAAGTCTAAAATAAACACCGCCACCGTCCCGCAGGCTTGGCTACTTGGCTACTTTCCGACTGCCGTCTTGGCGGCGGGCAAAAGTCCAACGAGATTCGACGGGCCGTCCAAGCCAAGGAGCTGTTTCTTGGCCCTTGGTGGGCTTTGTTGAATTTTATTTGATTTGCTTTTTTTTTTTCTCGTCTTGGCTCATGAGCTGTTCTCGTGCCATGACATCAAACGTCCAATGTGTTGTTTTTCTTGGGCGTGGGGGGGGGGGGGGGGGGGGAGCGTGTTGGGTGCGCGAACATGATGCTTGGTAGTCTTGGAGAATGGACTCCCTTACATGCAATGTGTTGAATCAAGTGTTGTACGCTGATAGTAAATGACGATTTTACTCCAGGTTTGGCACCTCTCCTGTGGCAACGACAGGTCACTGACACGCCCATGGTTGTGGCATGATTCGTGCTGATGCTTACATGTACCATCCCATGGGTTTGTCGGCAGTTATCAATTCACCTAGGTATTGGCTTGTGATGCCTCGCTATTACAAGCCGGGCCGGTACTAGATAGCCACGACTAACTCAACCAAGCTATTTGTACAGACATGCGCCGTAGAAGCGGTATGCGTGCTCAAGAACTCGGGCAAGGAGCACCGAATGCAACATTGCTGGCGTGCCAAGGATGCTTAGATCCACGGGACGCAGAGGATGAGCAGAGCTGGCTCTGTGAGACCCCGACAAACCGTCATCATCATACATGACTTGGGCAAGGCCTGCAAACATTCCGAAGACGCTTGGCGC